CACGCAATCATGAGCCAGTAATTTGTGCATTATCTGCGTATTTTGAAAGGCTGCGATCACATGATCAGTGCACTGACAGGAGTAAAGAGGGAAGTGGTCCATAAGGCAGGTTTGGCTGGTCACAAAAATACAGGACTTTTCCCCAGGAGAGAGGTGTTAGGAACTATGTGAATTTTGACCGAACTTTAAGTCATTTTAATTTACATCATTTCCATTTTTCTTTTTCCTGAACCTAACCACAGTAACTTAACATTAATTACATAACCTTATCTTAATGATGTAATGTAATTTGTAGGGTGCTTATTGGTAGAATATTACATGAACTGCTGTATGAAGATACATTGAAAATTCAGTAAAATTCTGGGACAGTAAAATTCTGAGAATGTTTGTACTTCATCTAGCCAAACTGCTCTAACTCTGAAGTCATGGAATACCAGCGCTTGGTCAGTGACTTCAGGTGTCAGACAGCAACGAAAAAAGACGTCCTTTCACATCGTCATGATACACAGCTGGTTGCCGTCTTTGTGTAATAGTACACGGCAGCATCGGGGGAAACATGGCGGGATGACAAAATAAGGGAGTGAAAGTCTGAGTAGGGTGGGCAGGAGGGGCGGTAGATGGGTCCAACAACCACTGACTTTCACCCTGGAAGCTGGTGTTCACATCTCATAAGACTGTAAAGCCAAACCCTGTTCTTTTTTTTCTTTTTTTTATACTCAACCATGTGTGTGTGTTGGCCAAATCTAACCACATGCGTAAAGGAAGCAAATGTCAATTTGCGGTGTTGTACTGATGTAGTGCCTTATTTTGAAACAGATTGTATGCAATTGTAAATTTCCTGCAGTAACGGATGTGTATTTTGAAAACAGACAATGAACAGGCTGAAGTTGACATGGTATACCTTGCCGTCATATGTCAGCGTGGAAAGTCCATGACCAAACATCAACATGTGATAAAAGTTTGTTGTCTGTAGACCACACAGAGATGTCTGGAATCTATTTCTAGAAAGATTAATTGACAAACTGTTGTTTAAAGACGCTCCTGTTTCTGTTTACTGTGACAATTTACAAATCTGTTATGTGACACGGTTTTTAAATTCACCACATTACACTGGAGAATTATTTAGCGGGAATTTGCAGCAGCTGGTTACAGTACTGTTTACACGAAAAAGTTTAGATACACTATGGGCTCAATTTTTGATCATTAATAAAACTTGGACTGGATTGATTGGGGAGAACAGTCTGGAGATGTTGTGCAGCAAGTTTGGTGTACGGGGAGATAAGTTTAATTAGTTTTACAGTTTTTGGAGAAAAACAGAGTGATGGACTTCATAATTCCTGCAAGGCAGATCTCCCCATAGGAACAATAACAATAATAACACTGACAAAAACTAAGGGATCCAGTGGCAGAGTTTAACATATCTTCATACAACGGTTCGTATGATATCCTACGCATTAACAGGACGTTACGTCCTTAGTGTAAAGTTACATAATTAGTGTAAAGTTAGGTTTAAGCATGATATTTTACTGTGGGTAGGTTTCGGAAAAGAAACATGGTGACAACTTACTTTAAAACATCTCAAAGTTCACCCGTAGATCACACGGTTCCTAATCTCGCTCACCAGACCTTTCTCAAGAAAAGAAAGGTCTGGCTGGGCCGACTCTCACTTTAAGATTGGAGATAATAACGCCCTGGCTTTTTTTATTTCTTTCAACCAATCACATTTGTTCTTGGCGGTGCCACAGCAACAGTGCGCTTGCAAAAATATTGCCGGGGGGAAACAGGTTTTGGTGTAACACGCCCACAAAAATATTGGCTACAGGACGCGAACCATGGCAGAAAAATGGCTACATCCCCGCAAGATCAAACACCGCAAAAGTTAGTAAAGGATGTGTTGAAAACTGCTACACAACCGGAGGTAGTAGGGAGGGACTTCTGCGGGTGGCTCATTCCGCCCAATGAGAGGCTGATCTATGCAGCGAACTTCCGTCCACTCAGACTACACGGTTCCGAGCACCAATCTCGTGGGGAAAGTCCTGTGTTTGGAAGTCCGTGCTCCTTACAGAGACCGCTCTAGACTGCTTCCTTCTTCACCCCTATCAGCACATTGATCCATGATTGCAGTCATTCAGATTACATGGGTAGTGAACGAATAACAGTGCATCACTTCCTGTAGGACAACGTACACACAATGCATGAGAACACCCTGCAGAGCTGTTTGATTTAAATAATGCTGCAAAGTTCGTCAGACTTCACAGACATCAGGATAAACCAGGTGTGGAGCCTCGGTGAAATGTGAATCAGTGGTTGAAATGAAGACAGCAGAAATAAATCATTACTGTGGGGAGCTGTTTATTTATTGATAGAGCCTTTCTTCTCTAACCTACATCAAAGGCTGAGTGACACACTAGGTGTGTGTAAATGTGTATCAGAGAGACAGAGGCTCAGAGGGACTGACTGGAGGTGCGTATGATGTGTGTGTTTTACAGAGACAGCCAAATCAGGTCATTAAAATAAGATCAAAATGGCATGACACCGGATCATGAAGCTCACAACTAGTAGAAGTCAATGCAAGTCAATTTCATTGATAAAGCCCAATATCACAAATCATAAATTTGCCTCCGGTGGCTCTAAGCATACAACCTCTGTCCTTAGACCCTCGATTGAGATCAAGAAATCTATCCAAACATCGTCTAGCAGGAGAAAATGAAGGAAGAGAAACTTTAGGTGCCACCTGACAGACCTGAGCCGCACAACCTCCTCTCCACCACGGAGACCTTGAAGAAGACAGACTACAAACACACAAGATAAAAAGCACAGCATTCATAAAGGAAGAAGAAAACACAAACACACGTAGAGGAAGACGGAGAGACAAGAGGAAAGGCTGAATCTCCTGGAGGACAAAGATCCAGTGTGGAAACACCCACAGGCAGCACAGAGAAGCCTGAGTGATAAGAGACGAGGAAGATGAGAAACTCTGGAGGGGAACTATAGAAACAGAATGAATAGAAAGGATATTGATTGGTTCGTTGTGATCATTCGACTGGTTCAACAGAAAAAGAGCTTTTGTCATTAGTTGTTATGGTGACAACACGCATACATCAGTGGGGCCAGAAAGTGTCACTCTCACTCTCAAATCACTGCTCAAACACAACTCACAGCTAAAAGTGTGTGTACGAGGTGATGTTTTAACCCAATTGCAGAACCACTGTTTGTTTTAGTCTTTACTTAACAACTTTGCAAAAGAGAGAACAAGCAGACAAGTGAAACAGCGAGAAAGTTTAAAGTTCAGTCCAAAAACCTTCGGCAAGCCACACTGAAGCAGAAAGCAGGGGAGTCTCTGCCGTTTCCTGGAGGCATGCATACACACACCAGAAAGTTCAAGTGTGTGCAGCAGTACTGCGAGGGAGACGATGTCGGGCAAGCAGAGGAGCTGAGGAAGGTGGCGCACACAAAGGCGATGTATGCGGTAAACTCATGTTGTAGAGTTGTCAGGGAACGACGCCACACAGCCAAGGGGAACAGGAACACTTAAGCAAAGCTCGTGGTCGGGGACAGGAGGCTGAGGTGTTTACCATGAGGCAGGCGAATCAGGAGAGTCAGCAATGAGGAATCAGTCTGGGAGTAAACGCTGGAGAGTCTTTCATGGGAGTGACAAAGAACAATCTGGCAAGAAGAGCTTGTGAGGCTGGAGTGTATAT